ATTAAAGATATAAAAAATTAATTGGTCCGTAATACAAAATAGTAGTAGTATATAGAAAATAAAAAATTCATTCATTGACTACAATGGCAAAAATTTATTTTCAAACAAATGATTTATTCTTTCGAGCATTGATGTCGTACTAAAATCAATGCGATGACGGTCTGTTGCCTTTTTAAAAAAACAACGGAACTAAGGATGACATAATTAATAAAAAAAAAAAAACAAGTTATTAGGAACACAAAAAAAAAGTCAACATAATACTTGCATAAAAATATGCTTGCCTGGGAACCAACGAATTTTCCAACCAAACATGGCGCCAGATAAATGATAAAAATTTCGTTTAAATAGCTCACGATAATTTCAAGTTTGATGATGTTCGTATATAAAATTCGAAAGAATCAAGGATTTACGTACGCGATTTTTCCAAGTGCTATTGACAGGACGCATACAAAAAAAAAAGTTTACGCAAGAGAATTTTGAGTGAAAATATGAGTTGTAATGAAATCTGTAATTTTCAACTCGCTTGATCCGTGAAATTAGATGTTAATATCGAAATAATTTATACGACATATATATATATATATATATATATATATATTATAATAATCACACAACATGTCATGATTTCAAACAACATACATCATGTAAAACACATACGCATGCCTACACACTATTTATTTATTCTTTCTATTTTTATTTCAGAGTTTATGTATAAATATGTAAAGTATGACGATGATTATAATATCAATAATAGTATATCAATAATAAAATTTTAAGCAATAACAATGAACAAAGATGGACCAGTAGTGGTGAAGTGGGGCAGTGTAGAAGTTTAACCAACAACAATTAAAATTATTGGTTAAATTAATTTTATTAGATATTTAAGGGGAAGGAGGGAACAATGGAAAAACGGCATTATTATTACTCCAGAAAATACATGACTAACTTTTTTATAAAAAAAAAAATTGCCTGTTGATGTATATACGTGTAACGTGAAAACGAAATTAACAAAAAAGAGAAAGTAGACATGAGGTCGCACAAAAGCCTACTAACGTATCTATCTAATATACGGAAAACAAAATAATCTACAAGCAACCTCCTTTCATGAGTGGTAGTGGCATGTAACGCTTTCAATTACGCAAAAATTAATTTATCGTCAAGGGAAAAACATTCAAGGAATATAAACAAAGATGATCAACTAGACCTTTAACACTCACATTGTGAAAGATCAACATACGGAGCGACGAGGTTTTTCGAACAAGTAAGCGTGTGTGTATTTTCAAATACAAATTTGATTGGTTGATTTATCCTATTGTTATCGTTTATTTGCATCGGCAGTTATTATTATGGATTTAGAAGTTTCCAAGAATAAAAAGATAAATGGAACGAGAATTGTGTTTTCGACAGACTGTCATTTAAACCACAAATCGAGAATTCAAAGATATATATGTACAAAATGCAGTGTATCACATTATAATTGTGCAAATTCAATACTAATATGGATTTGAAGTTACTATTACTAGTGGAAATGATGATAACGAATGCTGTATAGAGGGACCGATTATCGATTAGTTCTGGAGAGAGCATTTTCCTCAAAAAAAGAAAATTAAATTGTTTATATATGTGAGATATATATTTTATTTATATACTGTGTTACCGCATTTTTCTTTTATCAATTCATCTTTACAAGTAAAAATGATAGACAGACAAATGTGCCAAATAAATTGGGTTGTTTGTTTATGGACAAAAAGGAAATTGAGGAAGGAAAAGGTATACGACGTCGCAAACAATATATAGAAAGCAAAAAATAGGAAATATATATAACAAATAAACATTTGGACGAATGACCGATATATTTATATAAAAGAAGATCATGGATGAAAAACATAATCAGGAATTGGGGAATTCTGATAGAATGAAATGTAAATGTTTTATTTCATTTATAAATTATAACAAAAATTTAAATCATTGTACTAAAATAATTATTATTAGTAATCCCATGGCGTTTTGAGTGATTAATTACTATTACTATTACTGTTACTAATTATTATCGTTCTTACAAAAAAAAAAAAAAAATGTAATAAATAAAAAATAAAAGTTTCATTCACCTATTTATTATTTATTTATTTATTTATATTATTTTTTTATTTTCCAATCTCTTTACCATTTAAATTTGCACACATGTACACACACATTTATATATAACATCAACAACAACTAATAATTAATCAATATAAAGGCCAATAACCCAACCGATTCGTTAATTATAATAACTTGATTAAATAAAAAAATTGCCCGAATCAATCATTGATGATTAATCTTTCAGCCGAATAAATCGCTAACTATTATTTCATTTTAATTCAATAGAAAAATATTTTTTGGATCAAACAAAATTTGTTCAAGAATTAAATAATTTTAATTAAATTAATTAATTAAAATTCCTTATTTCAGTCAATGTAACATACACACCACTTAATTTATTAATTGGTATATAGAAAAAAAAAATTTATATAAATAATGATTCTTTTTTATAAAAAACTTTTTTTTTTTCAAATCAAAGAAAGTAGAAAACAAAAGAATTTTTTTAATAATAATCACATTATTAAAAATACTTATTATTTATACAATATATAAATTATTATTAATTATTCTTTTATTATTCACTTTCTTTTTTTTTATTTTAAAAAGAAAAAAAATTTGAAATTTTTTTTTAATTTTATTAAATTTATTAATTAATTTAATTATAAATATATATAGACAATTTTATTTTTATTTAGTTAAACATATAGATAGACTAATAATAATCATATTAACAATATTACCATTCATACACTAATATATATAATATCTCTAATAATAATATATACCACCAATCATCGATCGAATCAGTTATCAATAACAGCCTGCTTAATTCATCAATTGATCAAAATCAATCAATCTAAATTGTGTCGACTTTTCAGCAAAACAACAAAAAAATAACAATAAGGTGAGAGAGAAGATTCGATTTATTTATTTTTTTAATATTTCTATTATTTTCCAAAAATATCGAATTTTATTGTGAAAACAAAAATAATTAAATTTAAATTGTATAATTATATTTTTGTAACACAATTCGTCGCTATTTCTCTCCTTAATGTCTTTCTCTCGTTCTTCGTACGTAACAGTTAATTAATTAATTAATTTGTAAAATTTCCTAACGGAAATTTCAAACAATTTACAAATAATAATTTATTATTGTTGTTATACAATAATAAAAAGGGTCTCAATAATAGCAATAGTAATTAATGATAATAGTAATACTAGAAATAATAATAGTAGTAGAATAAAATAATTGATTGTCGGAAAAAAATGATAAGCAAATTATTAATTTATTTTATTTATTTATTTATTTATTTATTTTATAACCGCAGCGATTATTTCTCTCACCACTGGATAATACTTCAACTATTGTATGTTACCTCGATTTTCTTTTTTAGCCGAAAACCTTATTGAATATATATATTTTTTTTTTTTATATCATCAATCAATCATTTTACTAAAATTTTCACTTTACTTGACGTCACTTCTTTTTTTTTTTAAAAAAAAATTAAGGAAGATTATTTTTATTCCTACTTAACTTTCTTAACACATTTACACACAACACAACACACACACACACATACAAAATACACACTATCATTTTTACGACTATTATTTTTGTTTTTTTTTAAAAAAATAAAAATAAAATATTATTATTATTATTTTATTATTATTACAATAACAGTAATAATATAAAGAGATTTAATAATAATAATAATAAATTTAAAATTTTTTTTTTATTAAAACTACCAAACCAAAAACCAAACCAACTAAAGAGGTAAGCAAGCTTGAGAATATTTTTTTGTTTTTATTTTTTTGAATTTTCATTTTATTTCTTTTTTATTCTTTTGAATCATTTGAATTTCGTTTCTTGAACAAATCACACCAAAACAAACCCTTAACATCATCTACTCATTTTATAATATTAATTAATTAGTTAATTGGTTAATTTAATCATTAATTATACATGCCTTCTTTTTTATTATTATTAATTTAAAAACTCACTCCTTTACATCTTATATATTCGCATCTTAGATTTGCATCTTATATTTTTAAACCTACAAAAGTCCTTCATTATTCTCTGAAACCAATAATATAAAGAAAAGGTAATAAATAATATTAATATTATCATACAGCAGACTAAACCTAGAAAAATATATAATATATATATAGGATTTTATTCGTCCTCCTCCTCTTCTTCTCATCTTTGTTACTAACGACCCTCCCCCTCGCATCTTTCTTTCTTTATCCTTCGCATCCATTTCTATCCCCTTTTTCACGTTTATTTTTTTATTTAGTTTGCACAACTCGAAAAAAACCTCCTTTATTATTCTTGATTTTTTAATTCGAATAATAAATATTATTTATTATACAGCAACATACATACAAACAAACAAAACTTTTGAGACTTTTGATTTTTCTAATATTATATTTGATTATTATTATTACTACTATTATTTACTATATTTATATATATATATATTATCATCATCAATCATCTATAATTACAGTAGTACACATGGCAGAACCTAGTCTTAACTCTTGGGTAAATCTAAAAAAAAATTTTATTTAAAATAATAACTTCTTTTTTTTTCCCCTCGTTTATTTTTTCTTGCTTGTCTTTTTTTTCGTATTCTTTTTTTCTACAAACTTAAATACTAGGTTATTTTTATTGTTATTATTATTGTTATTATTATTATTATTTATTGTTATTATCATTTATTATTATTATTATTATTATTATTCTTATTATTATTATTATTATTATTATTATTATTATTCTTATTATTATTATTATTATTATTATTATTATTATTATTTATTTATTTTATTTTTCTATTTGCTTATCAATCAATTAACAAAACAACATATTAACATCTTTCTCTTTTCCTTCTTTCTCTCTACAGGTAAATCCATTTCAAATGTTGCGATTTAGCGGTAACGATGAACAACAACAATTTAATAAACCTGCTAAAGAAATACAACAGCAACAATTACAACCATATAATAACGAAAAATCCTTAAAATATTATAGTCATAATCATCCACACAATAATATTAATCATCACCATCAATCCCCGAAACATTCCAATATTAATAATCTTCATAATAATAATAGCATCATTAGTTTAGGTGATAAACAATTAAAAAAATTAAAACGTAGTACTAGCTTTAATCATCATAATAATAACCTTAATCATAATAACAATCACTATAATGATAATTATAATAACAATGTTACTAAACCTTCACCTTATATTGATGTTGCAGAAGTATTAGCCACCTCTGTTTATCTTGTAAAAGATAGTAATAGAAAACTTAATCAATTATCTGACGAAATACTTAATCATCATGAACTTAATGATGAACTTGCTTATTATAATAATAATAATTATGATGGTTATAGTGACGAAAACGATATTGATTCTAATGTTTATAGTGAAGAAGAAGATAATGCTAGCATAGATTCATGGCAGCAATCTTCCAACAGTAACAACTACAATCACAGCAATAACAAATCAAATAGTAGCGAAATTGAAAAAGAGTTAATTGCACTATCACTTCAATTAGATTCAATGGAACAAAAATACAAGTATCAGCTTAAAGGAAGGAATAAATTGATTGAGGAACTTCAAACAGCTTCAAAGAAAACCGAACGTGAATGTAAAAAAAAAAAGGCTGAAATTGAAAGATTAGAAACTCGTCTTGAAGCTACAAATCGTGCCATGACTGAATTAATGGAACAACAACAACGTCAAGTGCAAGAAATTGTGGCTTCAAAATCTTCATCTTTAGCTCAATCTGAAGAAGAGAAAAAAGAAAATCTGGAGGCGATCAAGATGCTTGAGGCTGACTTGGAAGAGAAGAATAGATTAATCGAACAAGTACAAATCACCGCTCGCAAAGTAAAAACTGAGTCAAGAGAAAAGGATAAAACTATCGAGGTCATAACTACTCATTTACTAAAATATCAATCAATAGAAACTGAATGCTTAGATAAACAAAAAATCATCGATGAGTTAACTTCCCAACTAGAAGACCTTAAAAAACGTGAAATAGAATTAAACGAAAAAGACGCCATGATCGAAACATTGAACATTCGTTTAGACACGTCACAAAAAGTTATTGCGGAATTACGAGAGAAGCATGCACCACATGATCTATTGAGACAATTAAGACAAAAAGATTACATCATTGATGATTTGACTCAACGAGTAGAAAACATTGATGCTGATATTAAAGATAAAGATGATGAGATCAAATCACTAAACAAATCATTAAATCAAGAAATCGAATTGGTTGAAAAATTGCAAAAACAATACAAAGAACTTGAACCATACAAAAAATTATACAAAGAAGCTGAAAATAACCTTTACGAAATACAGCAAGAACTTGCTCAGAAAGAAAGAAAATTACAAGATTTAGAAAGACGTTATAAAGATGCCTCTAGAAATTCCTTAGAAAGTCACGAGAAACTGAAAGCTCAAGAGCAAGCCTTCAATAGTTTACGACAAGAAGTTATTCATCTTAAACAAGCTCTCACGGTTCAAAATGCCGCCGCTAATGCCGCCGCCACCGCTGCTGCGACTGCTGCCATATCTGTAAATAAAGCCGAGCTAGATGTTAAATCAAACAAAAGTGAGGTACGTCTGAGCGCTCTACAAAAGGTTTTAAATACCAAGATCGAAGCTTGCAGGGAATACGAGAAAAAGATCTCAGAATTGGAAAAGGAATTTGAACTGGTGAAGACAGAAATTGAAGATACAAAGACCACAAGTTCCGAGAAAGAATCTAGAATCGCTAAACTTGTAAAGATGAACCGTCAACTGAAAGACGAAGTTACTCAATTGAAAGAAAAAATGGAAGCAAAAGAACAAGAATTGATCCTTATAAAATCAAAGATTCCACAACCCGTTTCTTCCAGAAAATCATCCTTTACAAAAACTGCCCCTAGATCAAGAGTCTCTTCTATGTATAGTGGTGAAAGTAGTAGTGACGATACTGCTAGGTCCTGTTTGACAAATTCTTCTGCTCGTATTCGTAGAAGTTCAAATCTTAGCGGTGCTAGTGATAATAACAGCAACGTTGGTTCTTTGCGGTCAAAGACTTTGTCAAGATCAAGTAGTCTATGTTCTGTTCCAACAACTAGACGCATATCAAATGGCCCAAGACCTGCTTCTTTATCAACAATTTCATCATCATCACCTTCTACCATATCATTAACTAGAACCAAATCTATATCATCTTCTTCCACAAGTGATATTGATAATTTAAAGAAAAGAAGCAGTATTATTAATAACAAGAACTCAACCAACAGCAATAACAATAATGGACCAAAAGGGACAAGAAGACCTTCATCAGCTTCTACAACTTCAACTTTGTCATCATCAACACGCGGTGGCGCTAGATCATCAATTTCTAATTCTTCAAAAAAACCGGTTAGCCCAAACACTTCAAGTATCACCAAAAATGCTGTTGAACAAAAGAAATTATCCACTGCAACTCAACAAGCCAGAAGAACTCCTTTAACAAGACCATTACCATCTAATACTACTCTGTCAACAAGATCTCTCCCATCATTATCAAAACCTATACAAACCAAGAGATCTTAATCTAATTAAGGTAATTACAATTAAATTAAAAATTAAAGCGTAGAGATCATGTATGATTATTTATTTTTTAGTTTTTTTTTTTTCATCTTCTTTCGACGAGTAATTTCAGTAATTTCATTAATTTGTTTGTTGGGATTTAGTAATAGCTATCTTTTATATATTTATATATAGTTTGAATGAGTTGCGTCTACTGGATTAGACAAAAGAATTTATATAATTTTTGTTCTTGTTCTTTTTACTTTTTTTTTTTTTCTTACAAATAAATTTTTTTATTGTTGATGTTTTTTAAAAAAAATCAATAATCTTTATACTTTATTAAAATTTTTACAATATAGAAAGAAAAAGGAGGGATCGATCCGGCAAGAAAGAAAAAGTGTGGAGTAAAAGAAAAAATAGAAAAAAAAATATAAAAAAACCAAAGAAAAAGAAAAAAAATATAAAAAAAAAAAAGAAACACAAAAAAATACAAAACAACAACCAAAAAAAAATTTGATAAATTTTTTTTTTCTTTCATTTATAATTTTTTCCTTCTTTTTTTATTTTTTTTAAAAGGGTACATGTATATAATATTATTTTTGTTTTTCGTTTTTTTTTTTATTTTATATATTATTTTATATATTATTTTTTTATTATATAATATATATAAAATATATATATACACATATATATATTTAATTATTAGTTGTTTTTTTTTGTGTTTTTTTTTATTTTTTTTATATACTAACATTCATTCCCTTACACAATCAATTCGCCGTCACCACCACCACCATCCTATTCCGTCGATTCATAAATATTCTTCCCTATCTATTATACATAGTGTGTGTGTAATCAACAAACATCTCAATCAAATCAATCAATAACAATTATATATATATATCCAAAATATATTTATATACTTTCAAAAACTACATTAAGAAAAAAGAATATTTCTTTTTTATACCCATCAAACACCTCATCTTACACAAATCATCTAATTATATAATAATTTTTTTTGATTTAAAAAAAATGAACAATTTTCTTTTTCTTTGTTTCTTATTTTATATATTTTAAGATTTATTTTTTTTCTTTCTTCTTATTATATTATATTATATTATTTCTTTTATTTTTATTTTGTTATTTCTCTAATATATATCTTACATTTATATATATATTAAAAAAAAACTTTAATAAAATTTGAAACAATAAAAAAAAGAGGAGAGAGGCAAAAAAAAAAAAAGAAAAAAGAAAAAAAAATTTAAAAAAAAAGAAATTAATTTTGTGTATTTTATTTTTGAATTTGTTTTGAATTGATTGTTCGTTTCTGATTTCTAGCTAGCTTTGTAAATTCTTCTAATTTACAAATATATGGGTCATCAAAAATAGTTTAAATTATGTTGTACCCAATAATTGATTTAAATTATAAGTAACTAAAAACAAAAAATCATTACCTTTATCGGCAAACTCTCACACATATTGTTGAATGTGTTTGTTTGTCACTTGTTTTTTAAATGCATTATAAAATACACAATAACCAGTTCCATAGTATCAGCCAAAGAATGAATTAATACAATAGAGTATGTAAAAGTCAAATCAAAAAGTAAATTGAGTAAACCTAATGATGAACGAGATTCAGTAAAATGGCAATTGAAATCTGTGAATTGCTTGAAAAAGAAACAAATGAAATTGCTATCTTCTTTTATCAATTTTATTAATGAAAAATAAAATCTAGAAGGAAAATGATAGAAGCCAAAAGAATAAAAAATAGAAAAGGATGATACAAAAGACAAAGAAGATGCTAATATAGCAATTTTGTTAATAGTAATAGTGAAAATATATAATAGAGTGATTAAAGAATAGATAATACTTATTAACGGCTTCCCTGCGATTGCTCTGGTGGGTGGTTTATATTTTTTAAAATATTTAATATTTATAAAAATCACAATGTAATTTTTTTTCTCTTGGTTAAATAGACATAACTTATCTTTTTGACCCTTTCCTTGAGAATGAATACCTTTGTCCTCACTATTGTATTATGTCTATTACGATATTCAAATTTGATACCATTGTATTAAATTTGCAAAGAGTTGATTAAATAAATAAATCGACAAATCACATCTTCCAAGTAATAATAATGCTTGCTACCAGGATAAGAAATGAAACTTTTAAGGAAAAAGGCCACACACATAATGAATGTCTCATCAAGCAAAAGGTGAGAAAGTTGGTAGAATTGGAAAATAAGCCCTTTCTTGATATTTTAATCTTGACATCTTTTCCACGTAAGACAAACACTAGCCAAAAATAAGTCTTGAATTTGATTGATTTTTCAACTAGTGAAGGGGCTCCATTGCCTTTTCAAGTGGTAGTGGCCAAGTCTCTGCTTGGCTTCCTTTTTTTTTGTGTGCGTGTGCTTCCCAGCTGTATACATGCATACAACAATTACAAGTTGTAGGCTCCTTAAAATAATTTCCAAAAAAAAAATAAAATTGATATTGATCACAGGTGTCAGTTTCCTATCACAAACATGGAATAAGGTGCTCTTGATCATGAGATCTTTCATTTCCCGTAGATGATGTAATCCAACGATATTGCTTTGGACAAGCAAGAGGCTTTAGCAGTGTTGTCATTTGAAGGACAGTGAAAAATTAATGATTTTCCACAAATTATCATCAGTTGTAATCCATGCATGACCCAAGCAAGAGCTAGTCGTTTTAAAGAGTTATCCATTGACTTGAAAAGAGTGATTCACTAGTGGTGGTGGTTAACCAATGGCTAAAATGATTATTTGGTCATTTTTTGTAAGCAAGTGGCCAAATGCAAGACTGGTCAAACAGCCGTCAAATGTCAATGCTGACCTTAGCAGTTTCCTTTACAATGATGCAATCAATAAATACCAAAGCCACGCTGCCTCACTTGAAATTTGATTGCATCATCATATCATCAGGGGATCAAATCAGATTAGCCTTATGTAACGAGGAAGATGAGAATGATTGTAATGGTTTAACTATAAGTTTCCATCCAATAATTCAAATACAAACGTTGCATATCGAATTGTTTGGTGTTTTCAAATTGAGCAAGTTTATGCAGCAGTTTTCCATATGGGGTGAAGAGTGAAAGAGAGAGGGGAGATCTCCAATAGTTGTGTTGCTTTTCTCACACTTCTTGTTAATATTAATAATGACAACGTAAACAATTATTTATTTTCATCATGATAAATAGTCTTGTATGTATAATTACATAAAAGACACAAGTTTCGCTGATTTTATATGATATTTATGCTATTGTAAAAAAAAGAAAAGACATCAGAATGAAAAATTAAATCGCTGGTTATTTGTAAAAAATACAAGCCTTCAAACAAACCATATTTCAAATTTAGTTCCCTCCAAAAAATAGCGTGGTACAAGTAGTAAAAGGAGCGTATCGTTGTATAAGAAGAAAGTATTATCAGGGCGAGGGAGCTTTTCTAGCTAACATGAGCCGTTTTCATAATAGCTATAGGAAGCCCGCTTTGAGACTTCCTTGCTGGGCTCTCTTCCCAAAAAATTTTAGTGAACTGAAGGTTTATTATATTAAATTATAAGATTACTTCATGCATATGATTGATGAATTGCAATTTTTTTATTGACAAAGAAAAAAAAGGATCGAGAAGAAAATTTATAATGTTTTCTTTACTACTTGTTAAGTGTAGAAGCAAATAAAAGTTTTTTGCTATTTAAAAAAATCAAAAAGAATCTAATATACAAAAGAGAAATTAGAAAATTTGTTTTTTTCAACTTTTTTTTATTTGGTAGAATAAATCTCAGATTCCGAAAATATAAAAAAAATGTATTATATAACCTTTTGTTTTTTCTAACTTTTATATTGGGCATTGTCAGATTCCAAGGATTTTACATATAAAATTGAAATATTAAAAGCATCGAGAGATTTATTTTTTGTTTTTGTTTTGTACTAAACATATAGAATATGGGTTTTTATTATGAAAAACCTTTTAAACAATAAATTTTTTGCCTAAAGTTTAGTTTTTTTATATTTAATATAAATATGTCGGTCATTATCTTTTATTCTTTTTAAAATCCATTTTTTTATTAAAGCTCTTATTATTTGTTATAAATCATATCACAATATATACTAGAATAAATATAAACTTTTGGGAATAAAAATTACTATGTTTTTATGTGTGTGTTTATATGCGTTGTGATTTTGATTATACGGAGGCGTGAGATTCCATTTTGAGGGAAAATTTTATAACTATCTCTGCGGATCACTAATAGATTTCTACACATAATTGGCGAAACAGGACCGGGAAACTCTATTGAATGTCACCGCCAACACTATGATTCGAAAAGTACTTTAAAATTTAAAAAAGTCACCGCCCACCTTATACTCGCATTAATAAGGAAGAAAAAAAGGTCTCCGGTTACACTATAATTCGCAAAGAAAATGTCACAGGTCACGCTGATTCGCGAACATAGGGATCCTGTGCATTAGAAAATAAAGATAAAACGCATGTGATTTCATGATACATGATATGTCGTCCTACCATTTTTATTAAGATGTAAAATGAACAAGTTAATAGATACCTTAAGAATATTATTTAATCCATTAGTCAGAGATTCGCGTTATTCGAATTTCTCAACCCTTCGTATTCATATTTCCCACTTTCATTGAACTTTCTTCTTTCCTTGAATCTTCTATGTTTTTCTTTAATTGAAGGTAATATAAAATTATTTGCAGGATAGAACCTCTCTTCTTCATTTACAATTGGAAAAGTGATTCTTTAAAGTATTTCATTGTTTAAGTAAATATTCTGCATATTTTAATAAATTGTCTGCAAATATAATTTTAGGAAAATAAATCTACTAGAAAACATCTAAGGTAATTCAATATAACTATATAATTTCCTATTAAGAATTTGTAATCCTTCTAAATCAAAATTAGGTCATGCTAACATTTAACAATTTATTAATGATGCGAATCAATATGGCCTGTGACATGCAAAATTTTTTAAGCAGACTATTTATTAA